ACCCTGATGCTGGGAAAGATTGAGGGCAGGAGGAGAAGGGGACGACAGAGGATGAGATGGTTGGATGGCATCACTGACTCAATGGACATGGGTTTGGGTGGACTCCGGGAGTTGGTAATGGACAGGGAGGCCTGGCGTGCTGCAGTTCATGGGGTCACAAAGAGTCGGACACGACTGAGCCACTAAACTGAACTGAACTGACCTCTTCTCTCTGTATTAAAGTCCTAGAAGGCATCTTCTTCCAGTACAAAGCTGATTCATCTAAATACACTGAAAATCTGTTCCATAGTCTAGCCGCCTTTATTAATTATTTTAGCAAGATCTTTTGAATGGCTTCCTACAGCTTCTACATCAGCACTTGTTGCTTCACCTTACACTTTTATATTATGGACATGACGTCTTTCTTTAAACCTCATGAACCAAGGACTGATAGCTTTGAATCTTTCTTCTGCAGCTTCCTCAGCTCTCTCAGTCTTTTTAGAACTGAAGAGTTAGGGCCTGGCTCTTCAATAGGTTTTGGCTTAAGGGAATTTAAGGATATTTGATCATACACATCATTAAAACTTTCTCCATTGTCAGCAATTGATGCTATTTTGCTTTCTTATATCTGTGTTCACTGGAGCAGCACTTTGAATTTACTTTAAGAACTTTTCCTTTGCATTCACAACTTAGTTAACTATTTGGTGCAAGAGGCCTAGCTTTTGACCCCTCTTGGCTTTTAACATGTCTTCTTCACTGAGCTTAATTATTTCTAGCTTTTGATTTAAAGGGAGAGGTGTGTGACTCTTCCTTTCACTTGAACACTTAGAGGCCACTGTAGGGTTATTGTGCTACATGCTCAGTCATTTCAGTCGCGTTCAACTCTTTGAGACACTATGGACTGTAGCCTGCCAGACTCCACTGTCCATGGGATTCTCCAAGCAAGAATACTGGAGTGGGTTGCCGTTTCCTCCTCCAGGGGATCTTCCCTACCCAGGGATCGACCCACATCTCCAGTGCCTCCTGCATTGCAAACAGATTCTTTACCACTGAGCTACCAGGGAATTTATTAATGGCCTAATTTCAATATTATAAGGTTATTAATAGGCTTAATTTCAATATTGCTATGTCTCAAGAAATAGAGAGGCCTGAGGAGGGAAAGACAGACAGGGGAATAGTTGTTTAGTGGAACAGTCAGAACATAACAAAAGATTAGAGATTAAGTCTGCCATCTTATATGGGTGTAGTTTGTGGCACCCCAAAAGAAATACAATAGTAACTGTATTCTATTGAATAGGTCACTGATCACTATAACAAATATCATAATAATGAGAAAGCTTGAAAAATTGTAATAACTACTAAAATGTGACACAGAGACATGAAGTGAGCAAATACTTATTGTAAAAATGGTGCCAGTAGACCGGCTCAATGCAGGGCTGCAATGAACCTTCAATCTTTAAAAAATACACTATCTATAAAGCACAATAAAGCAAAGCATAATAGAACAAGATATGCCTATAGATAGTCCCCAGTCATGAGTCAGGGTTATGTTTTAAATGTTGTTTTACTCTGTTGAGAACACAGATTTCCCACAAATAAAATATTAAATGATAAATATCTTGACATGATCCAAACACTTCTTTCACCAAAAGTTACAGAACTAAGATGCTACAGCCTCAAGCCCTCCTGAGCTTTCTGCCCAAGATGTGCTACATGAGGGAATGGTTACATGGGGGCTTCAGCAGATGTGCAGTAGGCCAGTCTGGGACAGTTGTGTCTATGAATGAGTTAATAATAACTTAAATGGTAGGAAAAATTGATTGACATTGTATATATGACATATGGAGAAGGAAGCAGCAACCCACCCCAGTATTCTTGCCTGGGAAATTCCATGGACAGAGGAGCCTAGTGTACTGTCCATGGGGTCACAAGAGTCAGACATGACTAAACAACATGTGATATATATATATTATGTACATATATATTATACATATATTTTCACATAGATTATATATTATGCAATTATATATGTTATATAAATTTCATTTGTTAACAGTAGATACCATTATCTTCATTTCATGCATAAGGAAATTGAGGCTCAGAGACTTATCCTTTAGAAGTTATATGATATCCATTCAGTTAGATTTTCAATAAATCATAAGGAAAGAAAATATTGTTCTGAAAAAGGTTTACAAACAGCATTTACTGTTCTAATAGAGTATTCTAATCCAGTGCCTTTCAAGTTTAATGTACATATGAATCACCTAGGGAATCCGGTTAAAATGTAGATTATAATTCAGTAGGTATTGGATGAGAGCAGAGTTTCTAGGTGATGCAATGTTGATTGTAAGGAGAACACATATTGAGTAGCAAGGCTCTAGCCTACTTAATTAAATTCTCAGTGATCACCCTGTTTCCTTCCTTATAAATGTGTATTCCAAAAACAAAAACAAAAAAACACCAAAATGGAAAAAACAATCTTTAAAAAAAAAGAAAGAAAGAAAACCTTCATGTATAAGAGCTAGATCTGGTCACATCTTAAAACAAAATCTTTCAGTCATGTCAGAGGAAGGGTCTTGTAAGATACCTTTTAATTTGGTCCTTCTGGTTAATCCAGGAAAGTTGTATATGTATATGAGTGGTCTTAGCCGTCGATCAGAAAAAGCCACAACTTCATAAGGAATGTTAGTTGCCATGACGCCCACAATTCCATTCATACACTGGAGTACAGTTCTTTTCTTGGTTTCAATATTGATAAATATTACGAAATTCCCAGAAGGGTAGCAAATGGTGCTGTCGTTGACAAAATGAACATTCTGCTTGGGGAATCCTTGCACCCATCTTTGGGGAAAAAAATATGTCACATCAGTAGAATAGAATACATTTCAAATACTTTTTCTTTCTTTCTGTTTTAAACAAGGCAAACAACAGATCATGAACATTTTTGAAACTCATCTATTCTCTTCTCACCCCCTTTCTACCCCAAACCACCTCTCAGATAAAAGAACACACAAGGCTGCTGTGAGACCAGTTCCAGTTCAGACACTAAAGAAACTTAAGTGTAGATCTAAAGTTCCACAGGTCTTGAGAATCTTCTTCAGAGATTTTTCTAGTGAAGCACAACCTCTGTTCAAACCTCAAAGAAAATCTTCCTTCTGATAAAATCTCAGAAGGATTTCTGTGGTCTTGTAAGCATGGAAAAGAAAAAAAGAGAGAGAGCAAAGAGAGCTTGATCCTAATAGAAAACAGGTGCATCCTGGAGACCTTACCTTTAAAACTAGTTTTGATTTAAAAAATAAACTTTTAAAAAAGCTTTAAATAAGATAGCCTGGATCCACCTGAAACTATCACAAGGTTGTTGATCAGCTATATTCCAACAAAAAATGAAAAGTTAAAAAGAGAGAGAGAGAGAGCCAGCTTAGTGGTTCTGAGCCAAATAGGAAAATTGCTTCTTTACTAAGATGGAGTGTGTGCAGCTATATTTTAGATCTAAAACTAGAGATAAATGCACAAAGTAAAGAAGTAAGTAGATATTAATGAAAAGGTTAGAACACAAAAGTAATATAGTTTTAAGTAAGGAGTGTGTGGTGAATGTTAAGCTAGAGGAAGAAGACAAAGATGAGAGCCTGAGATGAGGGGAGAGCCTACCTCTATTTAAATGTTAAAGATAAGCTTAAAGATGATGGAGAGGACCAGAGAAGGACACTAGTTCGGAGAGAAACTTCAAGGGAGTAGGGAGTACAGCCAGGACCGGTGAAGGATGCTGTGTGGGACACAAGGCAAGTAACACTCTAGAATGTGGAAGGAAAGCAATGCCAATTTACACCTGCGCAGCCTCTTATCCTTTTCAAAGGCCACTACAAGTGCAAACAAATCCAGAGTCGGTGGATAGGAGAGAGAAGGAAGGGACTGATGGCCCTAAGTACGGAGAAAATCACCAAAGGCCATTAGGATGGAAAGAGGGCTGTCACTGGGATGGGTGTGGGCGGTGGGGAACATACATGAAAGGAAAAGATTATTGAAGGTAATAGCCAGAAAGAGGAGGCAGAAATGAAGAGTGCAGGAGAGCAGTAGTGGGTAAGACAGCGGCGGGGTGGGGGGTGGAGGGTGAGTTTGAGGCGGGGGCAGGGAGTAGAAAGAGATGGAACTGTCGTCATTGAATAAGGAAATGAGGAGAGCGAAGTCACAGAGAAAGGAAGTCTGCAGGACAGACTTGGTGGCTGAAGAAGAGGTCGAAATTGTGGGACGGCAGGTCTACAGGACAAGAGCAGGCAGGTAGGGCGAGGTTGTAGTTCTGAGGGAAGAATTTCCGCGAGAGGAGTCAGTCGCAGGGACGCCGCACCTCACGGACAGGGACGGGCCGAGGACGACGTTGTGGACTTCATCTCGTTCCCGGCCTTGCGCCATAGCCCAGATATTTCTCAGCCGGCCGGGGGCAGCCAACACCTGACCCAGGCCAGGGTCTGCAACGGTTACGCTGAGGTCCCTGGCTGCTGGGCTGGCAGAGCCCGCCACTGTTTACACCGTATCCGGGATACCGTAACTCCTGCGCCCATTGGCTCTGCCCTTTCAGCAGCTCTCTTTTGAGCCAAGCGGATTGGTGGGAGCGCTGAGCTCTCTCAACCAATGGAAGAGCGGAGGACGAAACGAGGGGCTGACCCTAGGGTGGGTGCTGGAGTGATGCAGCCTCGGACAAGTAATTACACAAATAATAAGTAGCAATAGCAGGCTTTAATATTGAGTGCTGACCGTGCCGGACGTTGTTCCAAGAGAGGTTCAGATATTATTTCATTTAATATTCAAGTCCTCTATCAGACCCATTTTGTAGAAAAGGAAAGCAGGATAAGAGAAGTAATTGCCCAAGACTACAAAACTGAGAGGGACTTAAAGACAGAGCGAGTCTAAAACTAGAGCTTCAGGCCTTTGATTACTAATTACATACTCTAATATACCCTCCACTATTTCAAGGAGGCATACAGCTTCTGGAAGTAACGGATCAAAAGATCCGCAGTCTGTCCTCGCTTCCTCCCTCCCCCCCCCCCCCCCCCGTCTTCATTTCATTCGCAAATATTAATATTTACTGAGTATTACTGTGCATTGTGCTAGTCGCTTGGAACAAAATAGTGAGCGAACCAGGTACAGTTCCTTTCTTTGTGGAACTTAGAACTTCCTTCTTGGTGGGGCCCAGCGAGTGAGGAATAGACATCCGTTTCATTACATAAAGGCAGAATGGTAGATTGAATTAAGAAGAAACGGCAAACGATATTACGAGGTCTTATGGTGTAATTCTCTCCTGGTTGGATGGGCAGTGCTAGAGCTGATTGCTGTGTGCATGTGCTGTTTTCACTGAGATTTAAAGGATAAAGAGTGATTGCTGAGGGGCAGGGGATGGGGAAGGAACAGAGGACAGTTTTGTTTTGTTTTTTTTTAAGTATCAAGGCAGGACAGCAGATGGTAAGAACTGGGAAGTCAGTGTTATTGAAGTAGAGGAAGGTCAGTAGAAAACACTGAAGGCTGGAGAAGGAGCAAGGGCCAGGTAAAGGCCAAGTTGTGAATTCTGGTCTTTATCCCAAGAGCCAGGGAAAGACATTAAACGGGTTTAAATAGAGGAATGACAAGATAAGATTTATGTTTATAAAAGATCATTCTGGCTGGAGGATTATCAGTTGGGTAGGAGAGTGGGGAGAATAGAAATAGGAAGATCTGTTAGGAATTGATTTCATGATTCTAACGAGGGAAGCAAAGCCGGGTTGTCAAGCTGAGCACTACTGGCACCTGGGACTGGCTTTGGGGGTAAGTCTCACTGCAGGATGTTTAGCAGCATCCGTGTTAGTAGCACCTCCACTGTTGTGACAATCAAAGATGTCTATGGGGACTTCCCTGGTGACTCAGTGGTAAAGAATCCGCCTGCCAATGCAAGAGAAATGGGTTTGATCCCTTATCAGGGAAGATCCCACATGCTTCGGAGCAACTAAGCCAGGGAGCGGCGACTACTGAGCCCATGGGTGGCAATTACTGAAGCCTCAGCACCTTGGAGCATGAGCTCTACAACAGAAGCCACCACAATGAGAAGCCTGTGTGCTGAAACTAGAGAGCAGCCCCCACTTGTTGCAACTAGGGGAAAGCCTGCACAGCAACAAAGATCCAGCACAGCCGAAAATAAGGAAGTAAGATAACTTTTAAAAATGTCTGTGGATATTGTCAAATGTTCCTTTTGGGGGGGGGGGTGCATAATCGCCCCCAGTTGAAAGCCATTGATGAGGCAATGTGTTAAAAATATGTTAAAGGTAAAAACCTACATCAGAACTTCTCTGGTGGTCCAGTGAAGAAGACTCTGTGTTCCTAGTGCAAGGGGCCTGGGTTTGATCCCTAGTCAGGGAACTAAACCCCACATGCTGCATCTAAGAGTTTGTAAGCCACAACTAAAGATCCTACATGGCACAGTGAAGATCAACAATCCCGCATGTTGCAACTGAGACCTGGAACTGCCAAATAAATAAATAAATATTAAAAAAAAAACAAACAGCAACAACTGTGGGCTTTGGTGATGGATTGATAAAGAGGGGTAAGAGAGAAGGAAGAATCCAGGATGCTCCTGGGTGTCTGATTATCACAATCAAAGATGGTGATGCACTTTGCTGACGTGGGGTAAAGAAGTGAAGCTACGTATTTCTGACCTGAAGAATTTCTTTGCTGAAATGTGAGTGCCAAACACAGGTGGTGCTTGGTGTTAAGGGTCTGTACTGGCTGGCTGACAAAATCCTACATTGCTGAGTCACAGAGAGAAGTGGCTTTCTTCTCAAGTACTTCTTAAGCTCTGGGTAGTTTCTGTTGCCACTCCCTCACTAGTTGACTTATTTGTGTTTCCATCAAGCCCTCCCTGCACCCCCACCCCACCCCCAGAAAACACAATATTCTTTTAACTACAACTTGAGCATTTTAAAGCCATCACTAGAAAAGAAGGTGAGGAGGCAAATCTTGCTCCTGCTCCCAGAGAAAATGGTAGGTAGATGATAGAAGGTGAGCAAGAAGTTTGAACTCTAGGAAAGGGATACTGATCTAGGCTGGAATCAGCCATGACCTGGGAAGCCGAACTTGCTCTGTGCTAGAGCAAAGGAGAAACTGAACAAAATCAAATTGAAAAAGCAGTGGGAAAGCATGTCTTACTCTCTGCAATCTGACTGGGTTTTAGATGAAAATGGAGGTTTCTAACTGGGTTTCTGGGGAATATCTGTGGCTGGTATTCAGGTGGAGATGCCCTGACCTCTACGCCGTGCAGATTACAGGAAGAAGAGTGCTCTTTCTTTCTTAGTCTGGAAGGTGAAAGACAGACTATCCCAGAAAATGGACTTGGAGGGACAATTGAGGAAAACAGGTGAGGTCTCACTGTGAACGATTTTTGATATTAGAAATAAAATCTAAGACCCACACAATTTTTTTTATCTAATCAGGGATGCAAGGAGCAGCCCTGAACTTCCAAAGATGATACTCAGTGTGTTTCACTATTTTTAGGAAGCGTGCAATCGTCCTAAACCCACTTTACCTCTCTCAACTTTCTTTCCTTGCAAATCTCCAGCCCATCATCAGTAGACCAGTCCTGGACAGATTAAGCCTAATCCTCAGCTTGAGGTTTTATCCCTTTGTAGATCTCAGCTTGTCTTAAGGGCCAAAAGAGCAATGGTTTATTCGAGTTTATTGAGCTCTAAAACCCAAAACCTGTCCAGGACCATCCACAGGAAAACAAAACAACCTCAAAGGACATTTATTTTCCATGAAGAATTCATCTCACTCCCAAATTCTCAGCTTTTCTTGGGTTGTAGCCAAGCTCTGTGATATCTGAAAGATGACTTTTCTCATCTTGCTAAAATGTTCACCCATGAAGTAGGTTTTCTAGGATCTTTAAACATGGAAAAAGATTATACAGCATATTGGAAATTACTCCATTTATTAAGTAAACCTATCAACGACCTTCTGTGTATTAGACAAGTATTTGCTTTTTGTGAAAGGCAATGTGTACAAGAAAATTGAGAAAGCAACAAGTGAACATCACTTCTCTGGATAGAAAGATGTAAATAATGAAAGTTTTTACAGTAAAGGTAAGCAGTTGCAACAGTATCTACTTATTTTCCTGTAATTGATCCGTTTTATAGTAGTCATGATAATAAACCTCAATTTATTGAGCTCCTACTATGTATTAAGAACTTAGTAAAAATCGAATCCTTCCAACAACCATACTGCAGAAGAAACAGACTCAGGGAGGGTGAGTTTAAGACTCCAGTTTTCACATGTACTGCAAAGGCGCCTGCAGTGGGAATGTAGGCTGTGATCTCCCTCCAGGCGCCCAGGCTGCGGTAGCCGGGCCTTCCTTCTTGAAGAGGGTGGGGAATCCGGCCTGCGCGCTGGGTCGGGTCGCCCAGGGGCTTCTGGGCTCAGGTTTCCTCTCAGGGCCGGAGCAGCGCGGGTGCCTGTGCACACAGCCTAGGCTGGGCTGGCGGCTGCCCCAGCCTGGCACTTCTGAGAAAAACAGGGGAGGGGCGACCGACTTCCGGGTTGGACCTTAAACTCCATTGGGAGCTCGGCCTGTGCTGCGCTGCAATGTCCGGCGGAACGGTCAGGAGCCTGGGGAAGGGTGAGGCTGCCCTCCGCGAGCTGCAGCGGGGATCTGGGCGACCCTCGGCCGCGGGTCAGGGTGCGGCTGAGCCACCCGGGAAGGCACCCTTCCGGGGGCCGCAGCGCCCGGGACCTCTCCACCGCTGGGTTCGGGGGACAGCTGGAGGCTGGGGGTCCCTGCCACTCTCTGGGCTTTAACTGCGTTCGCTTCTCCCCGCAGGAAGCGCGCCCCCGGGGCCCGTCCCCGAGGGCCTGATCCGCGTCTACAGCATGAGGTTCTGTCCTTTC